CTGTGCGCGACGCCCTCCACTCCCCCGTGGGTGCCCTCCCCAGCCCCCTGCGTCTCAAGGGCAGCAGCAGAGGTAAAGGGGGGGAAGGGAGGACCCCCCGCTCTACTCCGGCTTCCCGCACCCCGGCGTCGAGGCGAGGGGGCGACTGGAGGGAGGCGCGGTTCCCAAATTTACCCCGACGTCAAGTTTCTGCCCGCTCGGGGACATATTTCGGGGGGACAGAGAGGCAAAGCAGCAAGGGAAAAAAAGATGGGGATGGGCACGAAAGAGCCCAAGGGTTGAAAGGACAAGAACAGAGCAAAGGCGAATGCCATTCACGGGTTGCAACACTTTCCTGTTTATACGTTGGTGTAAACAAGAAGTAGCGAGGAAGCCCGTGTGCTCGGTGTATTTGCCCGGCTCCTCGCTGGTGCGTGCCCTGCCTTTCATGGCTAGCTCGGCCTGCCCTGGGAAAAAAAAAAAAAAGTAAAATTAATACATTTGAAAGGGGAAAAAAAAGTTGTAACTCCAAGGCTTCAAGCTAGTAAATGAAAATAAACCAGCAGTTCCCACGCTGCAGTTTTTAGATGCTGGGTTTTGTCTTGCCGCACTATCAATCTGCTCTTTAAACTTTCCACGATTCCCTGCAAACCTTCATCAAAACTGCAAACCCCCCTGCCCGAGCTGGTGGGAGGGTTTATTACACCCCTCTCCTCTTTCAAAGGCTTCCCCGAATATTCGCCCCAGCCTGCAGAGCATCACCTAACCCGCACCAAAATGTTTTTTTCGTTTAGTAGAAGCCAGTCAGGCAGAGGCTCTGTTCCCCTCACGCTTGCATCCCCTCACCTCTGTCCTCTGCCTCCTCTCACAGCTCAATGGGTTTTTTTGAATTAAAGCTCCTTTTAGGAAAGCCAGTACCATACCTTTTGCCCTAAAACTGTCTATTTAACCTGCCTCAACTTGCACATTTGGAATAAATCCATGGCACACTGTTGATCAGCTCCATGTAATTAAATATATAGAGGACTATTTCCTCCAGCGCTGTCCACCTGCCCGCATTCTCTTCATCCCCCTGCTCTGCAGCCTGCTCTGGGTTTGCAGCTAATGAGAGCAATGCTGTAGGAGATTTTGGTCCTTCACCAAACATGTTTTTCCTGTTTGGCAGAGCAACAGAGCTCTTTTCCCAGAGCAACCACGGTACAAGGGCCCATTTCTACCCCCAAAATGAGTTTCTCCCATTAATAACAATTGGGACTTTGCTACCACAATCCCTCCCCAACACCAGGGCTCTCACTAGTGACTCACTCCTTGCCTCTCCCGGGTGCTTCTGCTCTGACCCTCTGCCCCTCCATTCCCTTGCAGAGGAGAAGCCGGGGGCTGACAGCGATGCCGAGGTGGAGAAGGTGCCTGAGGAGCGGCCAGTGACAGCAGCCAGCCCCAGCGGGGAGGACGCAACGCCCCGTGGCAGCCCCCGGTGCCCAGAGGAACGGAACAAGGAGAGACGCAGCCCAGAGAAGGTCAAGGATGGTGCATCCCCCCGGGAGGGTCCCAGTGAGGGCCTGTTCGGCACACGGGGCCTGGAGAAGGACAAGGTGGAAGGACGAAGGAAAGAGCCAGACACGAGCAAGAAGGACGCGGAGGGTGGTGGGCTGGCCAAGGAGGCCTTTGCCCCACTGATGGTGCACACGGACAGCCCCCCACACCTGAACGCTGGGCACCTGCAGAGCCTGGCACTCTCCGGCCTCCATGGGCAGCAGTTCTTCAGCCCCTTGGGTGCCGGACAGCCCCTCTTCATCCACCCAGGACAGTTTGCCATGGCCCCCGGCGCCTTCTCTGCCATGGGAATGGGACACTTACTGGCCTCGGTGACTGGTGGGGGCAGCCTGGAGAATGGAGCCCTCTCATCTGCCCCAGGTGCAGCAGGGACAGCCACCCCCTTCCCTTTCCACCTCTCCCAGCACATGCTGGCCTCTCAGGTAAGCCTCTGTGCCCACCCTGCATCCCTGTCCCCATTCCCACTATCCGGCCAGGCCTTGGACCCTCCTCTCTGTGTCCTTCCCCAAAGCTCCCTGAATGAGCAGAGCATTTCAAGGGCATGGGTCAGGCCCAGCCGACATCATCCGCAGTGTGGGGACACACTGGGTGGCCCTAGTGCAGGTCAGGAGCTGTCGGTGCTTCCGGCCTCCCCCATGCTCCCTGCAGCCCCTGCAGACAAGGGTGTGATGCTCGCCCAGACCCCTGACATGCTGCCTGTTGTGGTGCAGGCAGGACATGGGGCACATTTTGAAGGTGGTCCTCAGGGCTGATTTGAGGAGGAATCTTGATTTTTGTGTAGCTGGTGTGGTTCTCCCATAGACAAGGGCAGAGGTGGCCCTGCCTGACCTGACCGTCTCCAACCAGCAACCCCTCGTTTCCCTGCCAGCCCCAGAACACCTGCGCTTGTGTTGCCTTTGCCAGCCCCTATGATGAAATACATAAAGATGTCTTTGAACTCCCCTAATTTATCGATCCTACTTAACAATGTGTTTTAATGTGCTTAAAGGTTTGCAATGCTGCATAGACAGGGGGACACGCAATGTACAGAGACGCACAGGGGCAGTGACGGGGCAGGCCCTGGAGAGGAGTTTGTGCCAGGTAGCACCAGCCTGGGTCAGTGAGGGGCAGATGGGGCTCCCCAGCTGTACCCCCTCCCTCAGCCCATCCCACAGGGGTATCCCTCTGTTTTTAGGATTACACCAGAGTGTAATCCTTGGATTTCTCACAGGAACAGTGTCTCAGAGCCAGGCAGGAGGGAGGATGCAGTGGGGTATTGGCACAGCCCTCACCCCCTCCCTGTCTCTCTCTCTCCACAGGGAATCCCGATGCCCACCTTCGGCGGACTCTTCCCCT